TTTAAAAATAATTATCAATTATTAATTTTAATAAAAAAATAAATATTTTAAATTATAAATAATAATAATTACTAGCTATTAAATATCATATATTAATTATCAAAAACATCTAAACAGTCGATCCAAATAATTCTAAATATTTTCTTTAATAATAAACTCTTTATATGGAGTAATATTTCCGTCACACTACCTCATCTTTATTTTTTTTTGAACATGCACACTACCTCATCTTTATTTTTATTTTTTTGGCAAAAAAAAAAATGTCAATCAAATAAATTTCTATCAAACCGCCCTCTGCCTGCCCGTCACGCTACCTTATCTAACCTACAGCCACCAATATATTCACAACTATCAAAAAGAAAAATAAAATAGAGTTTTTTGTTTTCTTCGAAACCATATCTTATATATATTGACATCAAACCCTAAGATGATATTTAGCTGCTGATAAGGCTGGTGTTGAATATCCCAATATATATGTACTTTAACTTTTTTTGTTTAATTCCAGTTCAGTATTGCACCAAAAAAAAAAAAAGACACCAAACCCTAAGATGATATGCCATTGCCGGAGCCCGGAGGTGACTCCAGCACCTCCAAAGTTTTTTTGGTCATTTGTGGTGTTTAGATTCACTTTTTATTGGGATTTTCTAACTCTTTAAATTATTATATTTTTTAGAGTCCAACCCTATCAAATAACTTATAACATGTTCTTAAGTTAGGAACATAATCTAATAATTTGAGTACGGAACTATATATTAAGTTGGTGATTTTGAGGCCCAATGAATTGGAAAAAAAAAGGGGTAAGTAAAATAGAAACTAACAGCTAGGAATGTGGTATGATTGATCTTTTTGGTGAGAAAAAGTCGGCACTAAAAGTCGAAATCAGAATAAATAAAAAGTTATTTCTAAAAATGGAAAAAAATGTCGCAGCCGGTGACAACTCATCTCGTGGGCTTTACAAGTGGTCCGGGAATTTAACTTTGCACATGTTTTTCGGTTTTCTTTCCTTTTTTTTTGGGGGGGGGGGCTGTCAGGGGGAATAATTGATTTAATTTATAACATTTTAGAAGATCTTCGTGTTCATGGTAAAAAAAAAAAGAAAAAAGAAATTTCTTAAAATAAAAGTTTTACATTCAATCTTTTTTATACATCCAACATTTGGATTTTAGAGGGGCTGCATAAAAATAGTCATGGCAAGAGGGTTGCCAACTGACCATATCTAAGATTCTAAAGGGTTTGAGTTATGACAATACCTAAGTAAGTAGAGTGAGGATTAAGAGGGAGGAAGAAGATTTACATTTTGGTATGTAACTAAACAAAAAAGGGATTAATTTAAAATTTAAAATTCTATGCCAAGAGTCACAATTAAAGAACGGTTTTCAAAATATGTGTAGGGGAAACTGCATTTACAACCATGTGGTTTGAGGTAAGTGCATTTAACACCCCAAATTCATAAGTCTCTTATAGTTTGAAAAGGAACATTTAATCTCTTGAATTATGAAAATTGTGTTCATAACTTCCTTATGATTTGCAAAATATATACTTATAACTCCAAAGAGTTTATTAATTTTGAATGTGAAATATTAAAAACACATAGTTGTTAGGTGCATATTTTTCAAACAAACAAGGGAATCAAGAGCACATTATCTTGATTTTGAGGATTAAATGTTCATTTTAAAACCATGTAGGGTTGAAATGCACATTTTTGTGATTTATGAGACCAAGAACACTCACCCCCAAAGCACAAGAGGGCAAGTGCAATTTGCCCAAAAATTTATTTCCTTCCATAATTAATTTCACTTTATCAAATAAATAAATAATCACTTAATAATTTATTAGGCCTGGCACAGTTGGTAAGCTGAGATGTTATGTTGAAAATGTAAATTCAAACCTTAATTTCCAGCATTATCTGTCCACAAATAATTTCTTCCTGTGTTGCCTATTGCACTTGATAATGTAGCTGTTACTTTTTTTCAAATACCTAAAGATTAGGAATTCAACTTTAAATTTAAAGTTAAGTACACACATGATTCTATTATTAAATTATATAATGGATGACGATATACCTTTTATTTATAGATAGGACAACTCATAACATTTATAAAATTAATTAAACTTAGAGAAAAAGTGTATAATAAAAGAGTTTATATGTGTTGGAATTGAATTTAATTGATTAATTATTTAAATTAAAATTAATGTTTATAATTTTATATTAAATTAATAATCCAAAAATAATATATGTATGACATTTTTAAATTATACATTATATTTTAAAAATACAAGTTAAAATAACCGATTATCCCAAAAAGCCGCCAAATAAAACAAAAGTAAAATGAATAAAGAATTCATCGTGGCCGTTGCACGAAGTGGTGGGCCCAAGCACCGCTGCTATTCGACGCCTTTTGATCAGCAATTACTCTTCTTATCTGTCTAGTCAAATAAACATATTCCACCACGTGACTAATTTCGCCCTCTCTCTCATCTCAGGCTTAGCGTCTGTTTGGTAGCATTAAAATTGCCATTATCCTTCTTTTTGTGTATGATATTTTAGAACTTAAATTTAAAGAGATATATTTTTATTTTTAAATACTTAATAATGATTTAATTATAATGTTTTATACAATATAATACAAATCAAATGAATAGGTGTATATTTAGATGCATACTTATCACATATTTTTTTATCAATTTTTTTTGTATTTTAAAATAATTATTTTTTTTAAATTAAGAATTTAAAATTAATTTCTATATTTACTTTTTTTAATTACCTTTAAGAATAAATAAAAGATTAAAAATACTTTTTGTGATAAAATAATTGATTAAAAAT